AAAAAAAAACAAAGTCTTCTTAAAATACATACGCTTTAATTCATCTTCAGGTGTTGTTGTAGAAGTTTTATCAAATAAAAATGAACCTTAAATGTTAAAATCAACATATTAATTTCATATATAATTAATAAAATAATTATTTTACGTAAAATATTCATGACGTCAACATTTCGTCATCATAAGAATAGTTTACCTATCAGGGTTTATATTAAATCAAATAAATAGTAGACCCCTTAAAAAAATGACTACAATTTAGTATTCTGATTGATGAATCATTAACAAATGAATACACAAAAAAATATAAATCTGAACAAGGGGTATATCCAGTATCTTTCTTTTCTTTGTATAGGTAAAATGAAATTGATAGTGATAATCAAATGCGACAGATGCAACCATTCATTTTCTTTCCGAAAAAGAAATGGTTAAGTTATGTTTATTTGAATAAGGATAAAAATCAGAAGATGGCGTGAAACGATGGTTAAAAACTGTAACAACATATATTGTCCAGGTTTTCTTTAACTTCATTATTCTCGTAAGTAAAGAAAATAAAAACATAGGGAATCCACTCAGATTCAGTAATTGGTAAATACTTGAAAACTAGCATTGAATATGTTTTCATAGGTTCGCTAGTTGAGCATTCAAAATTTAGTATTTACACAAGGATGTTTTCCCGCTTTGACAAGTACACGAGTGGACTAGCCACAAAAAGAATAAGCATATCTAATACCATAATTACTTCTTTTAAACATTAGAAATGTCCTCGTGTAACTAAATGTAGATTGTGTAACGATAACGAACCGTTACACTTGATTTATTCTGTTTTCTTTCTTTTTTATGATCTCTTTCTTGTAGTGTTGATTTTGACGATGTATGCTCAATTTTTCTCTTCTGTTGTATGAGTACTATAGAAGTATGTCCTCTTAATGATATAGACATGATCGAAGTGATTAAATAATTCAATAAACATCTATGCCGAGAATGTCGACAATGCTATTCTTCCAGTTCGTTACAGATCAATAAATAATTTCAATTTTTGATGAAATCATGTTATTCTGACAATTTTACATATTATTTCGCTCTTCACTCCTTTTTATTTTCGTCAGTACAACGTGTACATTTTTTAGACCTGATTGTATACCCCTGGATAAAGTTGCAATGAGCAATTTATTTCTTCGAACTAATCACTCATCATATCATTTATGTCTGTATACATTCTGCATTGGAATAGCGGTGTAGAGAAATCAGATACATAAAGAATGAGAAAATATCATTCACTTCTGATCATCAATGAATTGCTTATCACAACTATTTCAATAAGTGATCGATCAAGTTTGATTGAAAGATGCGTTGCAATGATGAATCAATGTAATTACTGGAGAAATTCACAAACTAACTGAGCAATCACTGTTGATCATTTGAACGAAAATATCTGCTTTATACTCGACTGTATTTAACAATGTTTTGTTTTGCACATCATTTTAGTCCTTTGGAATCAAGAAAATATATATTCTATATCGAATTAGTAATCATTTATTAGGATGAATGAAATCTTTCTTTGATTTTGTACATTCTGTGACAGTTTCATATTGATTTGTTCAACAGGTGAAATTTTTGGATAACAAAAGCAACTATTCAGATCATGTATTCATTTTACCGGAGCGAATGACATTTCTAATTTTCATGATGATTGTTTTTGTAGACATCATACGATTCAAAAGCGGGTTGTCGTTCCAATAGAATGGTTTTTATCAAGTAAAATTTGAAAATTAATCTTTTCTTATAGAAAAAAAATCAGTTTGCAACAACAATATTTAAAAATTGACAAATAGACATTTTCAAGTTGTCAAGAGACCATCATCAGAGCTATTATAATTCTTTGGGGAGTCGAGTTTTAACCATCAATTCTACCATTCATAATAATCAAAGTGATGTGTTTTCTGTAACAGTTTTCACAACAATCATGAAGCTGTGGAGAATGGAAGACAAAGTTTTGATTTCTCCATTCTTGAACATTCCTCTCCTTTTTGAACTTACCTACATATAGTTCATAATGTCACTTACTTTTTTATATAGTTTATCTTCATATAGTTGAATAAGATTCATATGAAGGTTTGTGTTTTTGATTAGTTAAAAATGTTTGGAAGGTTCTATTTCGTCGAAGCTTTTGAATTGTATTGGTGACTGGTCAAACAATGTCTAAAAATTTACAGTTTCACTTTTGTTTTTCTTTAAATAGGTTAAGTTTTATGCTTATGAAAATCTATTGACTACTTTCATAAATTCACTTACAATCTAATTTATTTTGTCATATTCATTTTGATTCTTTTAATGAAATCAGAAAAACAGAATCGGTTCTGATAGCAAATTGATGATAATTTATTGCACATTTGGATGGATGTCATGACTTTTTTTAGATTATGCCAGTAAATAGGAAAAATATAAAGTTGCTCTCTATTTAGAAATATCTATTAACCATAATCGATTATATTTCTTACATATGCACGCAAACAAATGTTTATTATACTAAAATGATCACCTTTTCATAGAAAGGTCAATACAATATTGATTAGGGCATATTCAAAATGTTTATAAGGTCAAATTACAATATGAACTCGAGAGAAAAAGAAGCTGATAGGAAAGTATAAATTCAAATAAAAGAAGAGCAAAACAGAAAGATAATGATTAATCGATTGAGGTCAATAGATAATTGGTGAACCACTGAAGAAGACAATGCACGTGCATTATTTTGAAGTATGAGTTAATGCATGAAATCAAATAGGCACAGCTATGTCCGATGATGAAATTTTCCTCAATCTTGGAGTAAAAAAATATCCGCAACATTGTTTAATTGCATATGTATGTGCCCATAAAAATAACTGATAAATCGTTCTTTTTTTGGTTCAAAAGATGTATTGTTGAACTCTGTGCGAGTTAAAACTGAACATACTCTTGATTTCACGTTACAACATAGTAAAAAAAACTTTCTGTTATTCTCAAAATAGTGGAATATTGTACAATGATACAAAACTTTCGTTCTGATCTTATTAAAAATATTATCAGAACAGAATAATAGTACTTCAAACTCTTCTCTTGGTAGGAAAGTCAACAATACATTTTTTTAAGATAAAATTTTTTTAAGTAGTCTGGTATATGCACATATAACTGTGTCTTCTTATATAGAGCTTGTTTATCGTTTTATGTTGCAAATGTTTAGGCTAATTGGTTCAAATAGCACGATAAATTATTTATATGATCAAATTATAGAAACAACAGAAACACAATTTTTATATCATTCTATAATATTACTTGAAATTTTACTTCAATAGACAATAGTTTTGTACAGAATCAACAATCGTTTTTGATATATTTTTTTAATATTTTATCCAATTTTTTTGTTCTATAGACTCTAGTGATCTTACTTCAAATCATGTATCTTATCGAAATAACGATAAAAATTCAATAAAATGAAGCTTAGTTGTACTTGAATAATCGAAAACAAAAACTCATTGATCTGATTGTATCATTTATAATAAGAAAAAAACCAAAATAACAGATTTGCATTAAATACATTTATCAATATCGTTTGATACATAGCTGTATTTAACTAAGACTTATAAGTATCATTTCAATAGCGGTCAAGATACATCAATTTTCATAAAAATAAAATCAAATTTTATTTCGATAAAAACTTTTGTTAGATTATTACATATATTTGTTTATAAAAAAAAGTTTTTCATAATGCTTTCATAAGAGACGTCACAGACGTGTTCTAAACAATAAAACCTAATGCTGATATTTTATTTATAATAATGTAAAAGAAAAGAGCACACACATCTCTTTATCTCTATATAAATGATCTATCACGTCCTTAAATACTCATATGATTTTGATAACAGCCAAGGTAGCTGATTTAGATATTGATATATATGCTAAGAAATGGCAAGCTCACAATGAATCATCTGTCAAAAATATGAGGGTGGATCATGAATAGCATAACGATTAAAAATTAAACGCCTCCACGTCAGTTTAATAAAATGGGTTATTGTTTTCAGTTAACAGTAGAAGTTTATTCAAAGCTTCTTTTTTCTCGTATAGATAAGATAAGTAAATGCTACTATCAAGCATTGTTTTTACTATGATGAAAACAATTTTATCTATTATCAACTAAGAAAAAATACATGCGTAGTATTTTATAGATAATTGTCAGTTGTCATCTAAGAGAGTAAGAAGAAAAATCAAAACAAACTTTGCAAATAATACGATACTGATGTACATCGAGCAAATTTTCAGAACTAGTAATTTTAAAAGACAATGCTTACAAAATTTTGAAAGGAACTTGATATGGAATGAGATCCAATTACTTATGGGATATGAATTTCAGTATTTAAACTTATTATTAGTTTTGAAAACTTGTTCTCTGTACATCAATATAGTTTTCTTTGACTTCTCTTTATTCTCTATGAAATGCTTCATACGTATTTCTCTTACTTGCCAATAGATAAGATTTTCTTTAATGAGACCAAATATATCACTTGGTAGTAGTATTTGTTTCTGTTATCCATTTGAGAAAAAAGAGCTTTCCATAAGCTGCTACCACTAACGAAAAAAATCTGCTCATTTAAGCGAATCGAAGTGGAGATATTTCAATTTTTTATTCTAGTGCCATTTATGACTCACCCTGTATTTCTAATATCAACATATGCTACGTCAAAATATCATTAGTTTTTCTTTTTTCTATAAAAAACATAGGAACATTACAACGCGTATCTCTATCTTTATTTTAGTGAGACAAATCATCGAGCTTTTTAAAAAAGTAATTTTCAAATGATATAATTTTTAGATTGAATTATGAATACATTATATATACTCGTTTTGATCATCAATTCAGTGTGTATGTTTGTTTCATATGGTATGTATATAACAAATCTTTATTTTTTAATATGATCTATATCGATTTGTAAGATGCGGCATCGGTTTCGAAAGACGAGCAACATCTTATTATGCGTGGTCGTGTTACATTTCTTTCTAGTTTCCAAATTCCAACTGAATCTGGTGCTAGATTAACTGTTGCATTACAAGACACATCACTGGCTGATGCTCCAGCAAAAATTATTGCAAGATCAATAAGCAAAGCAATTCGATTTCCAATAGTATTTGCTATTAAATATTTACCTTCACAAATTTCAGAAAGACGCACCTATTCACTTAGTGTGACTATTAGAGATAAAAACAACGAATTATTATATATCAATGATGTAAATATTAGAGTAACGCCAGTAGGTCCTCGTCGTACTAAGTTCATTGATGTACCTGTTATAAGTGTTAAACGTAGGTGAAGAAATGGTTGATGGGAGTTTATTAAAATTTGTTCTTATATTTAGAAACGAAACCTGTAGTAAACAAAAACCGATGGCCTGAGTTAGTTGGTAAAAATGGTCAAACAGCGGTGAATATAATCAAAAAAGAAACAGGTAAAATAATTCAAATGTATATCGATAAATTTATTCCAAAGATGAAATTAGGTTTCACAAATGTTGTAATAGTCAAAGAAGGAGCACCAGTTACATTAGATTATCGCACAGATCGTGTTCGTGTTTTTGTTGATGATAAAGGAATTGTTAAAAGTGTACCAACAATTGGTTGAATGATTGTTTTTGGCAATCCGACTATGAACAATAATAAATGAAATTTTTCTATTTGATTATTTTAATTTTTTGATCAATTTTCTTATATTCGCAAAAAAAAGGCGAAGACACGCAATCATTCTATTGACGATATAAAACTGATTCACATTATACTAATAGTTTAGTTTTTACAGACAAGGTAAAGCTATTACTAAACTTTTACAGAATGTCCCAAAAAATTAAACGAAAAAAAAACATGCATACCTCCTCACCAATTAAAGGAATTTAAATATTTCGTTTACAGTTCGATCACATATTCATTAAAGTTATGAGATAAAATATCTGCAGCTAAAGAAGCCAAAATTAAAATAGTTTTATACTGATCAGCAATTATAAAAGAGAAACTTAATGAAGTTAAGAATCCTTATGAAAATGAGCCAAAATTAAGTATTTGATCTATTGTACAATCTCGATCATTACCACAAATAACAATGTACCAGATTGTGATGGAATATCTGTGACTGAAGCTATACAAAGTACAGTTTTTTTCTGAGTTCTATGAAAAACAGTTACATAGACCGAATGCTTGATATTGATTCATTTTTACAAGCATTATTAACCTCATCGACTTTTTCTTCAATAATTACTCAACAATCATCGATATTAATTTGTCGTTACCATTTAACATTTTTCTAGATTTTGATCAATACCATATAATACGGTACATAGAACAACAGTGAAACCTAGAGTGAAAACTGTAACGAAAAAGGATTTAGGTTGTCGACATTCTGCTTTCGACATCTAGCCAGCCACTCTGCTGGCTTATTCGAAATTGATCATGAATAAAACTATTTGAATTTTAATTTCTTAAGATGCAGCCATTGTATATCTTAATTTTAATGAATATGTGATCAAACTGTGAAGACAAATATTTAAATCTATTGACTCACTGAGGAGACATTCACTCATTCTTTCCGTTCGGATCTTTGAAACATCCTGTATAAACTTGAAGAGAATGTCTTACAATAGTTCATTAAGAGACAGTCTATGGCTCAATCAAGAAATCATGTCATACGAAAAGTTTTTACATAGCTTTTCCGTCATGTAACAATAGTAAAATTTCGGGGGTACGATCTGTCGTCAGTAGAAAAGTGAAATGGTTAGTAAAACAATAAAGAATTTATCGTTATAAATTTTGTTTAGGCGGTAAAAGAAATGATCAGTTTTGTTTAATAGAAGTTAGTAAACTATTCAAACTTCGTCAATAAAACATCCAAATCAGCGAAGTAAAAATGCAGATTTTATTCGTATAAAAAGAAATTCAAAGATTGAACAGGAAAAAAAAGACAATGAAAGTTGAGCTGATTATATCGACAACGATAATATTTCTAATCACTGATCGTTTAAATTATTAGCTAATCGTTCATTCAATTTCCAGATCAATAGTATTTTTGTTTATCTATCATTTGATATATTTTAGTAACGATTTAAGTTGTAGCCAAAATTTTCTTACAAAAAAAAAGGTATGTTTCAATAATATCCGTATGATTTACTTTGCGCCCATAGTGATGCACATTTGTTTATGCATAGGTATTGTATAGCTGTGCGAAGGACAAATGAGTAAATAAGCAACATCAAGATAAAATTTCCGACTAAAAGAGAGAACGTGATTTTTGACAATAATCTAACTTGTATGTCGGGTACCTTGTGATGAATAATTTGTTTGTCTTAGTATGATTACCATTTATCTATAAGAATGAGAAATGACAGAACAAGCGAAACCAAGGTAAAATTTTCAACCAAGAAAAAGGATGTACATCTGAGATTAAGCTTGCTCGTATTTCGGTATCTCGTAGCGAATAGTTTTTTATCTATATATATCTCGTTTAGCTTCACGAAGGACGCATGAGAACAATCGAAACAAGGTATGTGTTAAAATTATTCTTATCATTTTTCGCGATACGGTTGAATGTGCAAAGCAAAACGTATTTTACAACGTGAATATAAGCAGCAGTACACTTTAGTTTGAAGCACAGAATAACGTCAATAATTTACAGTGATAATATCATCATGCACTAAAAATATTATTCGTGCATCCAACAATCAAATGTATGTATTCGACTAACTGTAATCTTCGTGAATGACTTTTTTCAAAACAGTATAGAAGAGATTTTTCTGCACTCAAATATTAAAATACCTTTATGTTGCATGTAAATCACATTTCAATGGGTTTAAATCGTGATCAATTGCATTGCAACACAATTTCAACGCATTTAAACTCAATATTGATGCATTTTAACTGTACTCTAATCGATTTTGAATGCCATGTAAAGACACATAATTTCATTTCAATGCGTTCGGGTGCGACATAAATGAATGAAAATTCATTTAGAAGAATTTAAATCCGATGTAATGTGTTTCAATTTGAATAAAAACCCAATTGCATTGAATTTCAATCCATTCAGATACGATTTAAACTGATTTGGGTGAATGTGAAGCAACTTATGTTGCATTTAAATCTAATTTAAGTGAACATAAATGATATAAGAATCGATTTAAATTGATGTAAATGGGTTAAAACCCGATTCAACCGAACTTTAATTGAATGTAAATCCATTCACATTGGGTTTTAATGCATTTAGGTTCAATTCAAATTCATTTCAATAGGGTTTCAACTCATTAAAACCAATTGAAACCTATGCATATTGCAATTTAGTCCTACTTAAGTGCACATAAGTTGTACTTAAATGCGTTTAAACCCATTTTCAATGGGTAAGGATTCAATTTCAAAAGATCAAAACTGATTAAATTGGATTTAACGGCATAATATAAATAGAATCAAACTGATTTAAAGGGATTCTAATTCGGTTCGAATGCATCTTCGTTCAAATTTAAGTACATTTATATTCGAAATAGACGCATTGTAACCCAATTTAAATGAACTGCGATTCAGTTTGAATCAATTAAAATTGATCTAAATGGGTTTGAGTCCGGTTAAAGGCCATTTCAATCAGATTTAGACTCACAGAACTCCATTTAAATAGGATGCAAACTTATTTATATCAATCTAAACTAGCTTATATTGTGTTTCTTTTCAGTTAAGGTTATTGTCAATCCAACTTAAATTCATTTAAATACTATGTATGTGGATTTCAACTCAACTTAAATGGATTTAAATGGATATAAATGGGCTTCGGTCCAATGTAAGTTTATTTTGATTATACTTAAACTCATTTAATGGGATTTAAATTCAATGTTAATAAATTTAAATTCAGTATAAATGTATTTTAAATAATTCAAAAGGGTTCAAATGCAGTTAACGTACATTTCAGTGGGATTTAGACCGATCTATATTTATATTGGACTTATATGAATTTAACGGAGGTTCAATTTCATTTAAACTTGGTTTGAACACGTCGAAGTCAATTTAAATCGAGTTTAAATATATTTAAACCCAACTAATATGCATTCAGATTTAATATAAATGGCGTTAAACCTAATTGAAATCGATTGAAATTATTTGAAATGAGTTGAAGTGCAACATAAATCCAGTGAGTTTTATTTAATTGTTTTAACTCCGATTAAAGTGCATTTCGATTGGATTCAAATACATTTAAGTTGGACTGAAATCTATTTAAATGGGATTTGAATTAATATAACCTAGATTAAAATTTAAAACAAATTCAAGTTTCGTAGTTTCTAATCGTAACTGAAATTGATATTTGAATCAAAATTAATTTTTGGAAATTTAAAAGTATAAAATAAGACTAAGTTCAAAACTAAACTAATAGGAAAATGGGATCCTTACAAGAATAGTGTATTCACATATAGATTGTGCTAAATAGCTCCTGCATATCTTGTTCCCATCCAAAAGAGGAGGTATATTCATATACACTTTACATATAGCTCTGAATAGTGCTAAATAACCGATATAAGGGTTAGGTTTTATTCAAAAATCGAAGTATATAAACATGTGCATGTATATATACTTATGAATATTGTTGAATACCACTTCTATCGATTAATTCTCGGTCCAAAAAGCATAGGGTATATGCATGCATGTATGCCTCGTTAAGAAAATCAGTTGTAGTCGGTTTTTGAAAGATATTGTCATGACAGAAATATATAGTAACAAAAGTAACTATGTATTCTAATAGTGTACCGAGTATTCTGTCATCTTCTAGATATATGTTTTTGTCTGCCTCTATTCGCTGAAAAATAAATCGAGTGAAATAAAACCATTTCCAGTGTCAGATCTCTACACGCTGACTTTTATCATTCTCTTCTCAATCAGCCTTTATAATTAATCATTGCTCGAGAAATAACTTTATGAAAAAGCAAATACAATAGTCGCAAAAAGCCCCGTATCCAGTGGAAAGTCCTTAAAATTTCAACCATTCGGGCTTGTATTTTTACCGTAGATAGAACACACTGAACCCTATTGGCAGCCACCAACCTATTCTAGATCGGTTAATACATACTGCAGTTCTCAGCTCAATACTATCGTCACCTTATGAAGACTGTATCTCAAACATTTCTCGACGTTTTATGCCACATGAACCCTTATTCGAAAGGTTAATGTTGAAAGAAACTGTCGGCAATAGATGACAAAAAATTACTTTTAAAATAACGGAGATATGGTCTTTATTAACAGCATGCCTGACAAGCGATAAGTCTTTGTTTTTAGTCTGAGAATAATAACTCGACTTGGTCTCGGCTAATTTCCTTGACAATTGTAGTACAAACTTCTCATTGGCCTAGCGGTTAGTGATAACATTTTCAGAATCATAATTCGAACCAGACTCGGAATAGAACCATCATAAAAGCTCAGAAAGCAACAGATTCCCAATGAACAAGATCTCGGTAGTATGGAGCAGGACTCCGATCTTATGAAATGGGTACAGAGATCCGCATCTAGCAGTATAAAAAAAGTAAATAACTTGTTACATCGTAAAATGACAAGCTAAAAATTTCTGACGTTGTATTTTTCCTCAATTTTTGTTTAATTTAGACATGATAT